ATAAATGCATCAGTTAAAGTGAAAAGAAACCTGTATTGACAAAAGTATTCCAAATATCTCCTAAAAACAACTTTTAACTATATGTGAAGATATTAAATTTGTGTCTCACCTTGTACAACGTATTATGTCTAACCTCTTTAGATAAAGAAAATATATGGATTTATATGGGTGTAATTTAAAACACATTAAATGGAAAAAAATGTTTGTAAATATAAAATCAGTTATCGCTGTATAAATGGACTACTACGATTTGCATCAAATGGTTTACGCTATATCTTGCTCATTTACGAAAATAATTATACGTCTGCAAATTGTTACAATGGGGGAAAATTTAAACAAGCAAAGATTTATTTTTGGCTTTTCGTTCCCTTTTAAAGTCTAAGTACGCTTCTTAAATGATGTGTTGTCCGCTTGTGTTAAATGATAAAAATATATTGTATTATTATACAATTATGTTATAGTTAATGAACATTATGTATCTGATCAAATTTTGTTTGTTTTCACTTATGAACAATGTTTGAATAACAAATAATTTAGTATGTATTTGTTTTTACATTTTTCGTCAATTATCTGTTAATAAATATATCTCGTAATCTATTTTTCTCATCATATAATATTAAATAACAGGACACAGGTGGTATAATTTTTATTACAATTCAGATTAGCTACATAATACCATGGTATTAAAGATTCTAACATTAAATATTGTGTAATGATTCAGTTATTGAAATATGAAACTCAACAAACCCGTAATATTTTCTGAAAATAGTTAGCCATATTGTTGTTCTCCTGTAAATAGGTTGTTTGTTTTTTTTTTTGCTGAAAAGTTTCGTAACATTTCTGAAAACAAGGCAGGGTTTAAAGCCGGTTATTCAACAATTGATAATCCATTTATTTTTTAAAGTCAATTATTGATCGTATCCTCAGAAACAAAAGACGTAAATTATATGTCTAAAAAAGTATTTAGACACTATAGATAGACAAGTGTTTTAATAAAAATAATTTATTGTGTATTTGTTTTGACATTGTTGTCAATAAGCTGTTTATAACCAAATCTCGTCATTATTTTATTTCTTTCTTAATAAATAACAGTTTGTATATTTTAATAAGAGTTAAAATAAGCTACGTAATATTAAAGATTTTTACATTATACGTTGCGTAATGGTTCATTTTGACATACCTGAAATATGAAACTCAACAAACTTGTAATATTTTCGGAAACTAGGAAGTCCTGAATGCGCGTTTTGAAAATGAATAATAAATAAACAAATAAATAGAACGTACATACTGCGTTGTTTATAAAAGCGAATGTCTATCCTTGCATAACCATGTCCACAAGTCAAGAACAATTTGACATCTGCCATAAAACACCCTGTTTTACCTTTTCAATCATTATTGGACGCCGCTTGCAAGCGGCGTCTAGTAGATATGCATTTGTCCGTACAGCAATGGGGAAAATGTTAGACTTGATTTTGTGTATTTTTGTTGTTTTTTTTTTGTTTTAACAAAATAACACTGTTTTCAAAATTTCTAATAAAAATAGATTTTATGATGTACACCATGTCACAGAGCTTTAAAGGATTAGAATAAAGGTTTAATTGAAGTGATAGTGCCATGTTTGAATATCATATTCTTTTTATCATTATTAATTTTATCTCCATAATAAATAATATGCCAATGAGCCAGTCTATAGTCGATCGTTCTAAAACTTAACCGTTGAGAGAGGTGACGACTGAGGCAGTGTCACTTACTTCATTTGCTTCGCCTCTGTTAAAGTTCGGCTCCGCCTTAAATTGTCATATTAAATTTGATATTATGCTCCATATGCTAGCATTTAGTCTTCGTTGACGGGGTAGAAGGGAACCAGGACAACTTTGATCAATATCACTTGACGAATCATTAAATTACAAGTTACAAAGCCTAAACCACGCCCTCTATCAGAGAGGCTGTTCTCCCTCAACCGTAAAGAAAGTACAACAAACCGCTTACGCTACGGCCTGTAAGGGGGAATCACTGCAGAATAGTTTGTCCTCAAAATCGTTCGAACATTATGCAATTCGTACCAATATTTAAATGTGTATATTCTTGGCACATATTTTCTTGAATTTATTTTGAGTATACCAATCATTCCAATTTTATTTGTTATCCAATTTATTTTGATTCGACCAGACGTGTCAGTCTTTGTCGCAACAGACAAACATTTTAGAATTTCAGACCTGGCATTACTTTGTGAATTCATGCATTAGGTTCTACCTTTTCAAAATAATATGCAACTTTATTATTAAACGACGAGCACGGAGAAAAAATAGATTTGCGATTCGGATATTCAACTGTAATAAAGAACGATTTTCAATGCTGATTGACTGTTCACATCATTTGGCGGCGTCTTTGATGTGCAGCATCAACATTTAACTTGTTCATTATATTTCATAGGTCTAGATTAAGCTCCACATAGGTAAAGATAATATTTCCTTTAATTTATTCGATCTGAATAAAACACTAGCACTACATATAGACTTGATATAAAAATAATGCGGAATGATCAAACATTCATCATAATGTAAACTCAGCGTTTTAAAAAATAACTAAGATGTAGTATCCATTAATAATGGAACTTAGCTCTTTGGCCATTTTAATGAATAGACATCGTCCGTCGCCCTATTCTAAAAATGATGTATCTACAATTTCCTCTTCTTTGGGAAAAAGGCCTTAAAGATTCAAGACTTCGTAACATTTATTCGATAACTTCTCACAGTGTGGACTTCTGGTAGACCAAAAATGTTTATTTTTTTAATAAAAGAAATACTCTTAAAATGATTTTGCGGAGATATGACAAAGTAAGGCGGAAATTGTAGACACTTTTTGAGTTAGCATTTAGCATAAATGTAGTATATTCTTATAATCTAAAGAACATATTCTGCCAGAGTGGTTTAACCGCTGACACTGAATCACTTTATCTTTGTAAATTACTATGTCCAAGTGTAAATTCATTCACGAGATCTGCATCTTGGGCCTTTCTTGACCATGACAATATAACAGTGTGCCATATATCAAAGCAACGTAGATCCTTTAAAAAAGAAAGACAAACATTTCACAATTTTTTTAATTAACGAACAAAAACAAACTGACATATTTTGTTATCATTATGAAAAATTACCAATCATTGTAGCCATCTCTAATATTGTGATTAAATCTATGCATATCCAAATCGTCATGTACTGAAATACTGACACTCCAAATAGTTCCAAATGGTTCTTACGAATTATCCGAATATGGGTATCCGAAATTATGTGATTGTAAAACTTGGAGAAATATATAATAAAAATATAATACGAAACAAATACTAATGCAAAATATATATTCACTTAAAAAGACGTATAAAAGCTAAAATATATTAATTACATTCTTCAGAAATTTTTCAACTGTTACTTTCCTAGTTAGCAGGCTGATTTAGATACGATTGTTGTTGTAATCACTGGAGTTAGAACAATTATATTCACAAGTCCCTTCAAGTCACATGACATATATTTTCAATATGATTGGCTGACATGAAAGATTAGCCTAAAAATGGTACATGTGTTCGAGATGCGACAATAAAAGGCTATCAACAAAGCTTTCCATTCGACATAGAACAAAATACAGACGCCATATCTACAAAAGTATGACGCAAATATTTACATGGTTTGCGTTGGAGATAGAACAAACTAATACTAAAATAAATGTGCAGTTATAACATTTTTGGTAAAAAAGGAGTTAGAAATTTTTTAGAATAAGGCGACGGTACCGTCTATTTGTTCTGACATGTCAATAATAATTTACAAAACGTATTGATTTACATGTTTCGAATTAAGGTAAGACGTTTCAGCGGTGAGCGGTGGCCTAGTGGTTAATTTGTCTGTCTTTCAACCTAGGGATCATGTATGCAAGCCCTACTCGGGGCAAGGCCATGTTTCTTCATATGAGACAAGTAATGGTTGGTTCCAGGTAGCGGGATCGAAAGTACTTAATATAAGTTGCAATAACTTGTCTTGCAACCTAGCTTAAATAAGTATGTAAAAACTTATATATTTGACGCCATATGTGACGCTCGCGTATTATGTTACTAGGCCCTTAATCGCAAGACGGTACTCCATGTTTATATGTTCTATTATTTGGTCTATGTTTGAGCATATATGAAGTATTCCATTCATTCATAAAGCACTGCTTCTAGCTTTCTTCCTGCTTTTGTCAAAATAGAATGTGCTTACATGTATATATGCTGAATACAACCTTAACCGAATAAACTTCAAAACTATCTTAAAAGCTAGCTCCATTCATTACGTCACATGGTCAAGCAATGCTTATGATTATGAACAATATTTTTTTTGTTTCTTTGTTCATTTTGTTGTTGTTTATTGTCTACAATCATCATATCAAAGGAAAAACAATGCTTTATCAAAGGTTATCAAAATACATTTGAGCACGTTTGTGTGTGTTTTTTTTTCTTTTTTGTTTGTTTGTTTGTTAACTTTATATTTTATGTCGTTACATTATTTACAAAAGATAAGCAACAATTTGACATGCCTGAAATCAGTTTAATCAAAATGTAAAAATCTAAGTCAACCACGATTCAAGATAAAATCATGATAAAACTAGTATTCAGCGGGATAACACAAATACATGTTTCTTGTCGGGATGGAGGTTTCTCCGGTTTTATCTCAACACCATCCCAACATCAATAACGTATTCTCATTTTATCGTTTTCACTGTTATTTTTATGGGTCGTCCAAGACTGAATGGTAAAGGACGTTGACTACACACTACATGCCTCTCACCGCTGTTTCTTCGGGACGCGCCAGCGTCTTCGGATACTTCCATGAGAGAAACCTATACAGTTAGCTTACGCATCGTCAGTGGTTATAGTCAGGTGCCTGATGCGCCTGAGGTCTTCCTCCACTAGTTAACCTGCAAAGTCGCCATATGACATATACTGTACTGGTGCAACGTAAAACCAAAACAAATTAAGTTTTGTTTATTATATTTATTTTTTATTATCTTTATTTTATTGTTGCTTTTTGTATATTAAATCATTTCTTTATAAGAAAATATATAAATTAGACATACTCGTTTTCAAATGATAAATGAATGTGATTCAATAAGGGGAGCGGGCTGGTAAATCTTCTAATAGACAGAATGTTGTAGTATGGACCTTTACAAACTTAATCAGGCTGAAATAATAATTTCCATACAAATTTGATAGAGGTATGCTGTGCTTTACCAGCGTTTTTTACGTCAACATGTAATTTGAGATGAATAGATAAATGATACGTACTATTACTATCTGAAATTTCTACAGAATGAATATGGGATATTTGGAACAAAGTGGTTCCTCAGAATCATTAAAAACAGCAAAATTACATAAAAATTGCAGACTCTGTTTGATTGAGTGTGTAAATGAGGGATAATGAAAAAGTGCAAGTCTATGACACAAATTGCTAAAATGTTAAACATTTATTAATAACATTTTGAATACTAATCATCGGTATCAAAAAAAAAAATAATTATGATTTTATAGTAATACTTAAAACTAAAAATTAATTTATCATGAAAGTAACACAGTATATAGATTAACAATAAACACTAAATCAGGAACAATGATAAAGAATTTTCGCTTTCCAAACTCAAGTACTTTCCTAATGTCAGATAAAACTTATGTTCAATAAACTGTATATTACTTTAAGATGCGTTACTAAGTAGTATGTATCATTTTTTATACTTTTTGTTCACTGTGACAAGATTAGGCGGGTTTCCATTCTTCGGATATCTATCTGAGCTCACCCCAGGACCGTACTGATGCGGATTAGGTTCTTTAATCTGCGCTATAGCTTTTTCAGGTTTGCCCAAATAATCAACTGAGACTTGATACCTATCACCAACGTCACGTTGTAATGCATCGTTAGCGTTCATATGATTCGGTAGAAAACGTCCTCGGTTATCACGGAAGCCATCGCCTGCCATTTTGTTATCTTGTAATCTGGTAAATAAATGTTAAACAAGAATGCAATACAGTATTTAAAAGAAAATGCACTGAGGTTAAATTATATTCGTTTTCACAGCATTTCATGTCTATTTATAAAGAGAAAAAAAAACAAGTACTAAAAGGCAATAAGTATTTCTACTGTTTCCATCACATCAATGAAGTCCAAAGTTAATGATACAATTGTTTTATTGATATAACTTTTTTTATAAACTAAAAAAAACAACATAAGATAGCAAACATAAACAAACATATTTAGAAAATAAGGTTAAAGTAATGTTTCTTGAAATGCGACATTGTTCACAACGTAAAATCTTAACAAATTATTCTAGTCTCGTTGTTAGTTTCATAGATGATGGTCGTTTCAACTTAAAGGAAATTTGATTATTATACCCAAGACCAAGCATTTTCAGGGGGTGGGGCCTATATAGCAATCATTTTGTCACGTCCCGTCCTGTTTAATCTCATTAACCGTTAAACATGTAGACTTGAAACTTGGCACGTCAAAGCAATATCACAATGTTACTGTCTATCTTAAGTTTCATAATTCTGATAGTCAGTTTAACATAATTATGCCCCTTCTTTACTTACAATACTATAAGAACACATGCACCAAAGTGGCTATAGTTTTATGGTTATTAATGAATTGTCTTCATATTAGGACAGAACAATCTTTTAGAATGTTCCCGCAAGCTCGCCAGACTGACCTGGACTTTAAGTCACAGATCAATATTATATTTAGCTGTTTTTGAAATTGTCATGTTTTGGAATTTATTACATGGACAAGTATCACATAGTCTTTTAAATATAAAAAACGTAAACGGATATTCAATTAGTGTGATCTTGATGTTTATTCGATTTAATTAGACGTTCAAACACAATTCCATTTATTTCATTACTTATGACGAAAATATACCTTCTCGCCAAGGATTTTGATTGTTCATATCAGTTTTGTCAGGGTCAATAAGGCAATGTTACATACTCTACACATTTAATAGTTGTTTTGCCTACTAAACATTAAATGTCTTTTCCTTTAGATATATAAAATATTCCTGCACAAAATATCCCCCAGTGAGATCAATTTTGATCCCAGGAAGCCTAAACCTGTGTTCTGCACATCATTCCATTATAATTAATATTTCTGGCATTTTTTGTTATTTCTTTTTTATCGGTTCAAAAGACATAGAGTGGACACAAAATATTTAATTCATACAAAAATGACAAAAAAGTCTCATCCTGACCCGAGATAGGTGAAACTTGCGCTCAACACAAAGTCTCATTACGGTTTACATTGCTGCCAACCGAGAATACAAATTAAATTGGTTAATCAAAATTTTATCAAACTGTGCACATGTATTTAATTCGCAACAACAACCAGTTCTATTAACAAATAACATGATAAAAAATGCACGTCTTACCTTATACAAAATGTTCAGTTCTTCATCAATGATAAATATGGATTTATATAGTAGTCAAGCCTTAATGTGATCGAACACACAATGTAACAACAAAAACGATCAACCCTATTTGAATATGTTTATTGCTAATGTCCGTATGATCTGCATAAAGTGGTTTATGTACTGTCTGTTTTATGATTTTCGGAAAACAAACCTTTTTATGATTTTCGGAAAACAAACCTAAAAATACGTCTCTTATATCATTCATCTATACATATTTAGATATGTTTCCCACGGTATTAAAATCGGTTTAAATTACAATAAACATCTAAATCAGCAGATTTATGTTCCTTTGTGTGAATTTGATAAAAAAATCTTGGATGGTTTTGATGTTTGATTTCGTTATTGTAATAAGACATTACATATAAGAACACGCTATATTTGACAGCCGCAATTAAGTGCGCGAACAAACATGTTTGATGAGTAATTGATTTGAGTTAACGGAGCAAATTTATCACATACCAAATGACTACATTATTTTATTTATCACCATGATGAAAAATTAACAAGCTGAACAAAGTTCTATGTTGTATATATTTATATACTGGACGTCATTTTACACTAAGCATGGTGCCATAAATCAGAACTAGGTTGTTTGAATTTTCTGAACTAACAATTAGTACTTTCGAAAAATAGAAAGACGTAGGTCACATTTAATTATGTGTTTTCAAAAAAAAAGAAATGTAAAATAAAGGTAATTTTTTGGAAAATAAAGAAGTATTGAACCCTGAACACTTGTCTATAGGAAAGTTCTACCGTTTTCTTTTTTGTGTTTTTTTTTATTTATTTATTTTTAAATCACACTTTTATGCTAGTTTAGAATTTAAAGCATAACGATATCAAAATGGGAAGAAATACTTAACAATACCTTTTCTGACTATTGAAAAGCATCTCATTAGACACCTGTAGCGTTTTAATTGTAGCATTAAAATATCCTGCCACTTATGTTATACATATTTTTAAAAACTGTAATTATTAGTTGTTTTTTTTTGTGATGCAAGCCGGTGCTAGGGGCGTGAGGAATGTTGCACTTATTCACAATCTCTCATGTACAGACTCTATGACACCGAGTTTGCAATTTTCATGATTAATGCTTCCGAGGGATTACTTACTTTGTTTCCAGATTTTTATGTAGGCCATGCAATTTTGTACAGTATATTGAATAATAATTTTATTTCATTGATTTAAGTTAATATAGTATTTTTCGTAAAGATTAATAGAAGTATAACTTTGAAAATAAAAATAAATGGCATAAACATAATAAATGATTACTCGAGAAATAGAACATCCTTTAATACCAATTAAAACAAATATGAAAGAGTAGAAGTTGCACTCTCGGTAAAACCAGGTTTGCTTCAAACTTATAAAGTGATATATTAAGAACAAAAAATGTAGATGTAGCTTCGATCTAGAATAATTATGTCAAGGGTGATTTTTGTACATTTGTACTCGTAAGCGTCGACTTTTGATAAAAAAAAATTTACAGCCGTTCATTTTACTTTCACCATTATGAATTTTAGCCATGAAAGAACTTTTTTGAAATTACTTATTTAATTATACTTTGCACCTTGTTTTTTCCGCTTAGTTAAGCTATTTCACACTTAACATTACACTTACTTTGATGGGTGATCGGTGTTCATCACCTGAAATGATTTATTCTGTTATGTGATTAGGGTGGCTCAATCGCTTCAAAACAAAATAGCACGTTAACGAAAGCGATATACAGCAACCATTTAAAGTCGTTGAGTCAATGTGTATAGTTGTTATTGCGTATCAAATTACTGTAAAATTTTCTGTTATTTTACATATAATTGAAACGTTATAGTAGTAGGTTATGTTCGCTTTTTACTTCTTATTATGTATCCAGTCAATTTCATTCTCTGAAACTGCTACATGTAAGAAAGTATACTGAAAAAAGGCTATTTCCTGTAAGCATGTACATGTGTTTCTATTTGATATAATAATTTCCACGTTACATTTGGTATTGTAAAACCATTATCTGATACTGTGGTGTAGATGTATTGTAAAAATGTCTGTGTTAAATAATTATCATATGTTCATGTACACACATATTTTTGTAATTGTTTATAGTTCAACCTCTTGTATATGCTTGTTTTCTTGTTTTCAGTGAGTTCAACCATCCATGCCTTTTTTGTATTTGTCATGTGTAATATATATATATATATATATATATATATATATATATATATATATATATATATATAAGCTAAAGAAATTGTATAACATTTAAAATTGAGGTTAATTATCATTCGGAAAAAAAGTCGGAACACGTGATAATGCATTAATTTTTAAGTTTTCATTTTACCTAATTTCATTCTTTATCCGACTTGACTGTGATGCCAAACATAATTTTTTAAGTCACATAAATATATATAAATAATTTTTATTATGGGTGGTGAAATAACAAACATTTTATCCGGTTCCCCGTAACACATGAAAATGCACGTCACGTCAGGGTCTTTTAAATGGAAATACCCTTGCCACGTACACTATTTGTCACAAATTAATAAACATTGATGAGATCTGTATAAATAAAAGTATTAAACTTAAATTACGATTTTCATAATTTTAGGTGATTAACTAAGTCATGATACTATAACGTCTCGGTTGAATGATATTCTATACTAGCTGGAAAATAACAACCATTCGTTTAACACTTACCACCTTGCCAATCCACTTTCAAAGGAATACCGATTGTGTAATACTATGTAATACATGAGTAATAAAATTTATCTTTAACACCCTGCTGTTTCAATTTCAATTACTGGTGAAAAATGTCATTTAATGGTTCCTTAAACAGGGGATATTTGATTATTAATTATAAGTCCCGATAATTTTCTATATCTGTTATAAATATAAAACACGTTTTAAGTACTAACCGCTTAAATTCAGCCCAAAATTTCTGTTTTCTGGGTGTCATAACTTATAATCACGCTTTTGAAAGCTTTCAACTACGCTAAATGTAATCTATCTTAATTTCGCTTTTGCCTTACGCAGAATGTGCATGCACAAAATGCAACATAGGTTGCTGTGGAAAGTCGTACAGTTAAAAGGTCTATTGATGTCTCTTCAAAGTAGGACAACTTCTTATAGTATTTATTTAGGTGACCCTATCACTCGTTTTACGTTTGACTTTATCAACTTTATAAATTGTGTTATCATACTCAATATTGACAGTATAAAAGAACCACATTATGAAAAGTTACAAAATGGAATATATGGATAATGGATTGTATAGAATCAACAAACTACTTATAAATGTTTATCTTTAAATTTGAAGACAAATTTAAACTCCATGTACAAAAAGAACAATTTATTTTGTACTCAATAAAATCGATACACTTGATTTTACTCCCAATGTAATGTATCTACTGAATGTAATTTTAGATTTAAAAATGAATCACTTAAACAATGAAAGTTTTGTCAAACGAAATCGGAAAAGGAAGTGTTTCTGAGAATGCTTTGTTAGGGTAATGAAGCCACAGATTTGCAACACGTATAGATGGGAAGACGGAGAAAACATGAACATCCAAAAACATAAATCTAGTAACATTTCGTATGTTAAAATACTTATGTTTCAATTGGCAAAATAAACAATGGGGTTTTTAATCTTCAATAGTTGAACACTGTAACCTAAATGAACATGCCGTGTTTCGGTAAGTGACCTCAATTTTTAACACCAACATCTTCGCATTCGGTAGGAAAATATATTTTGAAATACTTGATTAATATACAAACATATATGAACATTAAAAAATCATTATACATTATAAAGAATGCATGTGAAATATTTTAATGACATGTAAAGTCTATTCATGTAAAATTAAACCCCATTTAGAGAACCAAAATTGCATTCAATAAACAACTTTCTACTGACAAAAAAATATAAATCAATCTTTATTCAATTTGCATTTCTGAAGGTATTTTAGAAGGTATCGTGAGATTTAAAGCGTTAACAATTTTTAGCATAAGAAGCCTTATATAAACTATTAAAAAGGTAAAACGAATCAAAATAAAAAATCTTATTCCGATATCACATTTACACTTGCTTATACTTGTAAATAAAACATTGAACGATATAACTGAAACGATTGTTTTGATAAAACTTCTATCGGACAATCAATAACTAATAAATTGAAGACAATATTGTTTTTTTCTTAATTCATGATAAACAATTTAAATGCAAATTGAGGTGTTCATTTAAATTAAAGAGTAATTACAATATTTTTACAATCGCAAAATATAGTAAACAACTTATAGACAAAAACAAATGTACCTGATTATTGTTTAAATGTTCGTTAAAATAACTACGAGGGTCGAACTTCAGAACATGCAAGTGACAACTTGATCAATTACAGCAATGTATAATGTATAGTTAATATTTGCCGAAAAGTATTCAGCCGGAAATAAAATTTCTACTACTTTTTAAAGTTATAAATGTATGCTATTACTTGCATGCAATGTCAAATTTGTATATTATAATTATAAATAAGACAATACCGCTAGAATTGTCGCACTATACATTTTGTATTATGTCAAAATATAAACTTGTCTTAAAACAAATATATATTCATCACATGAATGGTAACATGGCTAGGTTTTGTGTAGTTCAAAAGCCATTTAAGAGTACAAACCGAACAAAGTAAGCAATATAAAGTTTGCTTAAAATAAGGTTAATATTTTTTATTACAGTGAACATCAGTCTGTCATTGTTTATTGATATTGTAAGTTCGAGGTGATCACCTTATGCACACAATCATAACAGTAGGGGTTTAACCAAGCCCTAACCCTTTGGCAAACGATTATAGAATTCATGACAATTGTCTGTTTTTCTTATTTGTTTTCTGACAACTCGAATATGAGGTTGACTGATTCCTAACAAACTGCTTTAGAGCTTCTTATGTTTGATTTTGTTGACCTGTCAATTATGAATACATTATAGCACTTATTTAAACTGCCGATTCCACTTCGGTTCTGCCAGTGCAGTTTACGAGAAATGATATGAAGTAAATTTCTCATGTTTTGTCACACCAGCCTAACGTACATGTTGTCATCACACTCGCGCAAGAAAATCTTTTCTGTATTTATAAGTGAATGTATATATGTGTTTGATTTAATCAAATTGTTTCTTCTGTTTAACTCTTTGGTACAAACTACTTTTTAAATGTCATTTTTAATGTCCCAGGAGTCAATGTACTCTGTGGCAATGAATTTCAAACGCGTCAGGACATTTCCATTTATACATTAACTTACAAGCGAATACGTCAATGCGAATATCTTATTTATATTATGTTACTTTAGAGATAGTATGATTATTCATTTCGAGTGGTTTTCACATACAACTGTAACAGCATCGATTTATAGATGTCGTTATTCGTTTTAAGTTTAATCTCTTTTACTTCTTTTGTTAAATTTCTGTTACAAAATCAATTCCACTGGCCTGACTATATTATTACAGCATTGATTAATAGTTGTCTTTATTCGTTAATATAAATCTCTTTACGTCTTTTGTTTCATTTTGTCTTACAAATCA